CTGAAGGAAACTTAAATGTTTTTTTTTTTTGTTTTTTTTTTTACAGATTGCTCTGTCTCCAAAATGCAGCTTGTTTGAGGTCTTTGAGGTCACTAAGTAAACTTTTCCATCTTAGTAGTGGGTTTATATTTTCACTTCCAGGATCTACAAGTAGTAGAAAAGTGTAAAAAAGTGTAAATCATTGCTAAAGTAGATCAGATACACTTTATCATTCAAGTCGTAGGGAAAACTGTCCTCTGTACTGTCCCTTCAGTGTTGCTGGGGCAACCAGTCAGGAGCAGGGACCTACCCATCTCAATAAGTTGAGCTATTCTAGGTGAGGACAGGGCGTGAGGATCTGTTATATATTTGCATTTTGTTTAGGCTTTAGGTTGGTGAGGGAAGCGCCTTCTCTAACCTCTGAAATAAGATGACTGAAAAAAAAAATAGATTTTTCAATTTGCTGTATACCAGACTAATAAGAATATAATATATAATATATATATATATATATATATATATATATATATATATATATATATATATATATATATATATATATATATATATATATATTTTTTTTTTTTCCACCCTCTGTTTTCCTGTGTTGAGGCCTGATAACTTTCTTCTGAAAGTCCTGAGTAACAGAGGAGGAAACATGGAGGATGTGGTGAGCATTAGCATAGCAAGCTTTAGAGACCAACGGCACTTAGAGCTCAATGAGGGCAAACATACATAAATATGAGTTATGTTGCTTTTCCATAATCATTTTCTCTTAATGTCTAATCCCAGGAAAGGGGGAAGTGCAGGCACCGAGGCGGACGTGAAATGGTCGTGTTGATTACAATCAGGATTACAGGTATGTGCTGCAAGCTAATTAAGCTACAGGCTAATGATGTGATTGTGGGATAAGTACACTCATTTAAACACACTTAGACACTTTAAGTTCAATGTTTTCATTTGCAGTTAAGTCAGAGGACAAGTATACAAATATTATAATTGGGAACAACACTGCAAATTCACTGTAATTGAAAACTACACTGCATAACAGATTGTAGACATTTTATTCTCCTGTTTACATTAACTTATGACTTTGGTGAATGATTTTTTTCTTTTCAAAAAAAGAAAATCAAATGCCTAAACACTGACTGATCGCAGTACCATTGGTACCATGGTAACTGATGAACATTCTGACATGAAAATACACGTAGAACACCCCCTGCCTGATGTCACTGCAAAGTATCAATTACTGTATGTCTTTATGCTCAGTAAAAAGCATACAAAAATTATTCACTATATATTCATGTTTTTTCAACTTCCTGCTATGCAACATTTTGTGGATTTTTTTTCAAAGATATATTTAGTTTTAATCTGTTAATCGCTATGGCAGCTGTCTTCATTTTGTATCATTCTGAAACACAATTACCATGGATAAATCTTAAGAGCCTCAAATCTACAATAAGGGTTGCCAGATTTGCTTTGATCCTCCAATAGAGAATCCGGTTCTTCCTTTCAGCTTGTTTGACTTGACATTCCCAACCTACAACCTGAAACCTCTTAAGGATAACTTCTCCCACCATTAGTCTTACACTCCACTGTAAAAGTGTTGAGAGCAGGACTGAGACTGGCGAGGACCACAGACAAATTGGATAACCAACCACAACACATGCTGGAGTTGACTCAGTGCCCAGGCCCGCTCGCTGAGCTCAAATAAAACCATTCTATTTACTCTAAATTGGCTTTAAAGGTCCTATATTACACATAAATGACTCTACCTCGAGTGCTGTGAATGTTTCATTCACAACTCTTTATTATTCTGTCTACATCTCCAAAACTCAAAATGCTCTGTCCCACCTTATGATGTCATGAAGTAGTAGTTTTCAAGGTAACAGCTCCTTTTACCTTTAGTTCAGTAAAGACTGACAATTCCAGGACTGAAATCTTCCAAATTATTCTAGTGACGGTGGAGTTTAAAAACACAGAGGAGTGCATCCTGTATTAACACAAGGTGCATTGAAGAGAAATATGCAGGGTGTGTTTGTGTGAATGAAACTAAACATAACGCTGCGTCTGTTTGTGATGAAGAAACATTATAACACAGATCAGAAAATAGTGTAACATGTGACCTTTAAGATTATGATGTAATCCAGTAGCTGTATTTTATTGTTATTTACGCCGTTAAATGGGCACTGTGGTACTTTTCTGGGTTGAGTTGAGTTATTGCTTGGTTTTAAAAGTTCCATAGTATTGCATTAAATGTGTCTTACATTTTGTCAGTTAGATGTGTTTTATTGTTTAAAAGTTGTTTCTGCTGTTCCTACCCTCGTGGCACTAAGGAGAAAAGCAAGTGGACCCTCTACCTGAAAAGTTACATACTGCAGCTTTAATCGAGGGGGACAGGCAATTTACAGGTCAGATCTTTGGAGAGATGACCGTGCTTACAGTAAGATTGCATGTTTTGCCCAATTTTGCGCAATTAAAACACTTGAATTCCATGCTGTGCAACTTTTCAGGCAAAGCAGGTGGCAAACCCTATAACAGGAAAGTTACATATTGCACCTTTAAGGCAGAACTTAGCTTAAATAATGATAAATAATGCAGCAAGAACCCGGCAACACATAGAAGACAGCTATAATATTCTGCATGAGCACACCCAATTAAGAGTTTCATTTTATAAACAGGAAATAGCATAGCGCTCCAGAGTATTTAAAGCCTGTGAGATGCTTCACTACTGTTAGTTAAATAATGCATAATGTTTTGATTATTAAAGAGACTTATTTTCATAGTATGGTAAATGGTCACATTTTTATACAGCGTTTTTCCACCTTCAAGGCATTGAAAGCGCTTTACATCAAGGAACCACTCAGTCATTCACGCACACATTCATGAACCACTGTATACAGACCCTGGGGAGGAGGAGTATCTTGCCCAAGGACACAATGACAGCATTTAACTGTAGAAGCTAGAATCACACAGCCAACCTGTGGCTGTGGGCCAGTGGATCTGACCTCTGTACCAGTAATGTTTACTCAGATCAGTGGACAAACACTCTACCAGCTGAGCGACTGTCTCCCCATTATATTTTTATACACTATTATGAGTAACCTAGTGTTTAAATGCTGTTGGTTCCAGTTTTAAATTGAGGTTAAATTACTAAACACTAGGACTGGGTATAATTAAGAAGCTCCTGATATAATACATACTTCGATACATAGGCCACGATATGATACATATCTCGATACAGTGAACTTTTTATTCAATATGTTATATTTCAAATCGATTCGATACTGTTCAATAAAAAATAATGGCTAAATCATGACTGTGATACTAAAAGTCTTTGTTAAACCACTTCTAGTGCAAAGTGAATATGAAACACACCCATTTTACTCATCAAAACAGTGAAAATGTCAGATGTGTTGCATATGAGTTTCCTTCCTCTGAGCAAACAACAAAACTGTAGCTCTGTAACAAAATCATTTAGTAAAATATACCAAAAAATACTCTTGGGGATATATATCGATACAACAGCCCACAATACATTAAACGATATGATATATTGATATTTTTGCACACCCCTACTGAACACTATTACACTTTTGTGGTGGAGGGTCCGTCACCTGTTTGTCTCCATGGAGATCTTATTGCCTAGAATGTTGAATTCACTGCATTCAGTCTATCTAATGTGATTTTATTTTATTTTTTTCAGTTACATGGATGATTACTGGTAGCGGGCTTGCTTCTACGTAGATCTGACCTGAAATAGGGGAAAATTTGTTACATGCAATACTATGGAACATTAAAGGCAAAACGTCTCCAGGGAATCAAGCAAGTAGCCGACCCTCCACCAGAAAAGTGAAGTAGTGTTTAGTAATTTAAGCTCAATTTGAAAGTGGAAACAACAGCATTTCAAAACACTAGGTTACACATAATAGCATTGGTAAGCGGTAACCCCCACTTGAGACTACAGTTTTTTTGGACTGCTTCAGGTTATAAATACATGAACCAGGAGGGACCAAACTTTTCTTAATCAAATAAATGGAAAGACAAACAAATCATTAAGCGTAGAGGGCACGACTTTGCGAGCGCTCGTGTTGGCTGCATAACTGATGGAGTAACAGCGCTACACTAACTGATGCATTATTCACAACAATCAGAGACGCAAACGCCATTTCCTATTCCGATTTACATGTGACCTTCATCCCACTACAAGAACAGATAAGGAACATTTTGTCAAATTATTGGTACAAATTCAGAACTCAAGTGTGCAATGCTACCTTTTGTAAACGTTTATGTCACTCACTATCTATAGATTGTATTATAAATTTGAAATGAAATCTTGCAAACTGAATTGTCTTGTCCAAATGTAATTACAATGACCAAGTATTGACATTGACCTAGACAGACATTATGCTCATGTCTAGACATACAGAGTCGCATCCTATGAGCTGTGAACAGTATGTGACATGCTTGTATCCTAAGCAAAAGACTACATTTTGGTTCAAGCTGCAGTTTTGTCTTTTGATGGTTAATATTTCTCATTGGATTCTTATGCGCTTTAAGCCATGTTATATTGTTGTTACCTCATCAAAAACCTACCTAGAGTTGTGTTTTGTTTCATTCACACATTTGAGTGACCATTTATTTTTAGCCTGACTAGATCTCCAAATCTCAAAATGCTCTGTTCCCCCTTGTGATGTCATGTAGTGGTAGTTTTCCAGTTAATAGCTACGTTTTACTTTTTTGTTCAGTAGTGGCAATGTCAGGGCTGAAATTATCCAAGTTTAGTGAAGGTGTATGGAGTTTAAAAACCTAATGGAGCGCTTCCTGAATTACCACATGACATCACAAGGTGGAAGAGAGTGTTTTCTCTTTGAGAGAAGAACCCTAAATATGCAGTTTTTTGTGTTAAACATGACTGAATGAAACAAAACACAACTGCAGGTATTATTGCAATGAAGAAACAATATTATAACATACTGTTTATTAGAAATGTGTGTAATAAGGGCCTTTTAAGAATACAATTTGAAGTACAATTCATTAAGCAATTTATTTACAGCAAAAACAGTAGTTACAAATGTGGTAACAGCAGAACGTCCATACAGCAGTTTAACATGTACAAGATTCACATGATCAGTGCAGCTGCTAAAGAAATGCTGACATGTTATAAAATCTATTATTTAAAATGGAGATATTGCAACTGGACTTAAAATGGGAAAAGTAATATTTCATTTAGACCAGTTGCTTTAGTCTGAATTAGAACATATGAGCATCCAAATTAATTTAACAGAGTGTTTCCATCTTTTACTATCACAAAACATAAAAAAAAAGAAAACATAAAATGAAAGGTTTTAATTCTTGTGCAGTCAAAGTCATGTTATAATAATGTTCCTTCATGAAAAACATACCTAAAGTTGAGTTTTGTTTCATTCACGCATGTTTGGGTAATCCTTTATTATTAGTCTCTCTACATCTCCCAAGCTCAAAATGCTGTGTTCCACCTTGTGATGTCATGAAGCAGTAGATTTCAAGTTAACAGCTACCTTTTACCTTTAGTTCAGCAGGAGATTGGCAATTTCAGAACTGAAATTATCCATATGATTTCAGCGAAGGTGTATGGAGTGTAAAAACACAATGGAGCACTTCCTGTATATTACCACATGACATCACAAGGTAGAATAAAGTGTTTGTTTTTTTTTTGTTTGAGAGAAGAACTCAGCCTCAATATGCAGGATTTGTGTGTTAAAAATGTGTGAATGAAACAAAACAAAATTCTGGATATGTCTGTAATGAGGAAACAACATTATAATAATAAGATCAGAAAAAGTGTAATATGGGCCCCTTAAACAAGATTTCATTCAACAGTCACTGAGCTCTATAGTTATTATTTAGCTTCAGTTAAATTTTCATTATAGCAGCCTCAGAGGGAGAAAATTCCAACGTTATTTTTTTCAATATTGTCACAGTATAGTTCTCATAAGCTGGAATCCTGGGCCCTCAAAAAGTTGACCATGGGGAGGTTCATAATAGCTTTAATGTTTAACAGTTGAGAACTATAAAAATCGATAAAGAACCACTGGACATGAAAATATTGAAAAGAAAGGTGAATTAACTAACTGCATTTCTTCCGATAAAAAAATCACTTTTACTTTCCGTGATTAGACAGCGACCAGTGTAGCTACAGAACACCATTCCATTGATTTTAACACATATATGCAATATCAGTCTCAAAAATCAAATCTATGGAGATGTCGGCATGTAAGACTGAATTCTGACCTCAAAACCCAATTAACATGCAAACAGTGGTTTAGTTGGAAAAAAACAAAACAAAATTGATTGGGTTATTTTATTTATTTATTTATTTTTTGCTTTGTTGAGTCTAGTTTTGAAATTACTTTGATAATACAATTTTTTTTAAATAAGAATTCAGTGCCAAGAAATGAGGTGCACATATTTTTGTTGTAATTATTATCTAAAATCAGCGATGCGTTTACAATGCATTTATCATTATTTCTCGGCACAAAGATCCACATTTTGAAACAATAATAAGAATATCCATGTATTTTGCTCAATATTAAGAGGGCAGTACATTTCTAGACACCACAGCTCCGTGATTCTTAGGCCCCGGCTTCTAGTGGAGTGTCCAGTGCTCGGATATGCACGCTGGGCAGAGTGAACCAGGCGAGGGGCAACTGTCTCCCAGCGCTGTCGTCCTGGAACTTAATGTTGAGGTAGAAATCTCCAGTGTAGAGGAAGAGCAAAGCACCTACACACTCCTGGCTCTCCTTGGGTTGAACCTAGAATGCCACAAAAAAACAACAAAAAAAACCCAATCATTAGTTGATCCTCTGAGACCATGAGCCAGCGCCGTAATGAAGCTGGCACAGAACAAGAGCCAAGGGGGAGAGGTTTGAAGAGCGTCCCCTGAGAAGACTTCATCTGCCAAAAGCACTTGCTCAGAACATTTTAACTCTGCAATCTATCTGGGCTTATGACTGGAGTTTGGAGAGGACAAATTTGAGAATTAAGTTTGAATTAAAATAGGAAAAAGAAGATCATGGTTTCAGCCAGGAGTACAGAAGTTTTTAAACTGAAAAAGCTGAAATAGATAATGGAGTTTTACTAGTGTGACCAGCCATCCAAATTCATGAGAGCAGAGCCGAGTTTCTCAACAAACTTGATGACCTCAGAGTGAAATAAACGTTGTCATGTTCTGTCTATTGATACTTTGCAGCTGATTTCATCAACATTCCCTGGGGGTGTGAAGCTAACTGAAAGCACGACTCCAGCTACTAATCTGAGCTTCATTTTGACACAATCAGATCAGAAAGAGCTGACTTAGCTGAAACTACAGCAGGTGAGATGATTTGTGCTGTACAAGTTTCTCTCACATAAAGTTACAGTCACAAGCTAGCTCACATAGGCCAACAGTTTTTCAGTTAGTCATGCTCACATTTTCTGTTGAAAATCAAACACCTAAACAGGACCATGAACGCTAATGTTTGCATTGTGTCACCTTTGCAAGTGATGAACATTTCGCCAATAGATACACATGTAGAACGCCCCCAGTGTGATGTTACTGCAAAGTATCAATATCTATATGTAAATGTTTCCCAAAATGTGCATCAAAGCATCATAAAATTTGAAACTCAAATTTTTGTCATTATAACTGCAATAAACTTACTGTTAAGGTTGGCCTGAGTAATGAATGAGACCAAACAACAGCAAACTACCATAAGCCAAACATTTATTCTGCAGCAGGTAGAACAAATAGATTAATCATGCTTTAAGAAAAACTTTTTGGCACACTGAATCTAGTCTTTTTCAGGCTCAAATTTATGTTTGGGGAAGGTGGGAATGAGAGAAACTAGTGTACTGTGGTGTCTGTGGAGATTATAGTCACTTGAATAGGGAAAATTCACTTGGATGTCTGTGCTGCCAGCCATTAAATTATTTTAATTATAAAATGAAAGGTTATAGTTGTGAATAACACCTAAGAATATGTTTCATGTAAAATGATTTAAAACTAAAATGATAATAATAAATGAAAATGACACATAGTTCAGTCAAAAGATTGGACAAACCCTCTCATTCAATATTTTTTAATTCATGTTTACCACTTTCTACATTTAAATACACATGGAAGACATAAATATATATGACGTACGATACATGGAATATATATTATATTCAAATTCTTTAGATTAGTCACCCTTTGCTTTGTCAACAGTGTTGCAAACCGCTGGTATTCTCTTAGTGAGCTTCATGATGAAATCTCCTGAAATGGTTTTCACTTCACAGGCCTTTTTAGGGTCAAGAAATGGCAAAAGCCTAAAGCAGTGATCAAAGAAAAGGGTGGCGATTTATAAAAAAAAAAAAAATCAAAGTTTTGAGGTATTTTGAGTTTACTACATTCTATATGTGTCCATTCATAGTTTTGCCTTCACTGAGAATCTGCAATGTAAATAATCATAAAAAAAAAGAGTGTGTCCAAACTTTTGACTGGTAGTGTATGTGATATGACGTTCTATAAGAGAGAGGAAAAAAATGACCAAATTGACTGAATGAAAAAAATAGAAATTGACCAGAATTTGAATAGATGGCAAGTGAACAAACCATGTGTCAAATATTTTTCCAAAAGTATTACAAATCATATCATGATGTTGTGGAGCACTAACCGAGCCTATGTTGAAGGTGTTGGAGCCGATGAAGGTAACAGCGTCCTCCAGGTCGTAGTTCTGGACCCCGTTCTGGAAGTCCTGGTAGGGCATCACGGTGAGAGCCAGGGGTCCCACTGCGCTCTTACTCCTGTTGGTCAGCTTCACCTCCAGAGTCACAGCATCCCCCACTTTACACTGCGCTACCACGTCACAGTCACAGGGGGCGCCGTTCACCAGCACGTCTGCACAAAAGCACAAGAGAACAAACAACGTCAAGGGACTGAATGATGGAATTTTGTTACATATCTTTCATAGCTGTTGCAGATTTGTGTCTCACTATTTTGTAATAGTGCTTTATACATAGTTAAAAAGGTCCAATTTGTATCCAAAAATTTATCTCAACCTTGCATAGCTATATTATGTGAGCAGCTCTTGAGATCAAAATAAGTGTGCTGTATAATGTCTGCATCTAATTATAAAGTGTTTAATTGTCTGCGATTCAGAAAGTGCACAGTTAGCATGCTAGTTGTGGTTGGTATTACCATGACAGCAAAACTCTGGCCTCTGTAAATTGTGAAAGGCACTTATAAAACAGTTTAAAATGAACTAGTTCTGTTTTTCACATTTTTAAAACTGTAAAAATCAAGTTCAGCGCCTTTAATCTCCTTGATATATAATCACGGAGGAAGTTTTGGAAGAAAGTAAAGAGCTGTATTTATGTCCTAATTAAAAGGAGCAAATGTTGTGTACAGTATCGTTAATAATTCTTTGTGGGCTTTCCAATAGAGGAAGTCAACTAAATTATAGGATACGCATAAAATAAATAAACTATAAATAAAACTAAATAAAATAAAAATCAATACTGAGCAAAGAAATATGTAGGAAATCAAATAAAAGTTCAGATAGCCTGCTTAGTTCACCCAAGGCTAGTTGATTGAAGGCTTCAAAGAAATGCCTCGTGCTGACAGCATTCTTTGGTTCACTTCATCTGTATTCAGCCGTGCCTTTCGTTACTATTACAGGCCTATCATAGCCTTTCTGCTAAGAGATCAATAGGCTTTGTTTGGCCTAAAATACACTTTATTGACATGAGTGAAGAGGCTTGGAGCTGCGGGTATTAAACTAGATTCCATCCCCGTTAATCTCATGCATGGCTAATTCGAAGCAGGTTTGAATGAGACTGTTAGAGCGATTCCTCCACAGAGCACACAGCAGGGGCCTAACACTTTCTACAGACAATATGACAAGTTTAACCGTCACAATGGGAAGAATACGAGGAAAAGGCACAACTATGAATGAATACATTTTTGGTAATACGCAGAAGAGCTGTGAACAAGAAAGGAAGGGTGGCAGGAACGGAAGGCAGTGGTGGTATCAATAACTATAAGCTTTAGATGTAATACACTCTACTCCATGACAACACATTTTTTTCCGCAGTTGCTTCTCTACTTCCAACTACACTCAAATGCACAAAAAAATCCATAACAGCTTCAATCTTGCTCCTACACAAAGTTGTAAGGCTATGTCCAGTCGAGTCCCTCTGATGCTCTGATGTCATTCGTTTTGAACAGTGAGAACAATGAGACAGCTGAGAGAAGACTCCGCCACATGGACCGGAGGAGTGTGTGCGGGCGCCGAGATTGCCTCAGTCACAGCTCCAGTCACAGAGCACCGGCCTGTCACAGTATTGAGAGAAGCAGAAAGAGAGAGAGAGGGTGGTGAGAGAGGGTGAAAGAGAAAAAGAGGAGAGAGAGAGAGAGAGAGGGGAGAAAGACTGAGAAAGATTGAGAGAAGAGACAGAGAGAGAATGAGAGAGCCACAGAGAGGTAGAGCCCACCAGAGGTGCCAACCAAACTGTGAGTCACACACAGACCACCAACATGCCATTGCTACTTTAGGGTGACATTCAAAAACATGGCACACCCAGAGGAGCAGAGGAATTGTCATGATATATAAGCCACAAACATAATGAAGCATTCAAAAGTAACATTAAAACTATAAAATAATAAGCAATGTTAGCATTAGTAATTGCTTTTTTTGGGCATTTATGTAGTTTTCACTAGACAAAGTTATTTAAGTGCTAACAGTTTAAATTATCCAATATAACCTTTCATCAGAGAGGCCAATTGATGCCTATGGCTAGAATAGACAAATGAAAATGTGTTTCTTATTTGAATTTCCAAATAAGTAGGAATTCTAAAAGCAATAAATGCTAATAAACCAGAGCAGCAGCTGGAAGTGTCGAGGCCGGGCATTATGTCTATACTGAGCGTTTACCATTTCTATAGGAGACGACAGTTGTCTCTCTGATGTGAGCTTAATGTAAAATATGCAAATGAGTAGCAGTTTGCTGGGTACATTATTGTCATTAGGACGTCTGCAAAGTAATTTTTTGTAATAGTTTTATAAAAGGCATTGTCAGGTCACATTCATTTGGGATTGTAAAATATATTTCACAATCAGGAGGATAGTACTGATTACTGAAGTTTGTATGTAGTTACAGTATGACTACAGTATAAGTATGCATGGTGTTTGTATAGTTGCTTGATTCAAGTGATGTTGTCCTTGGTTTTGACTGAAACATAATCAAAGTAACTTTGCATTCCCTCCGGTGTGAAGCTAACTGTAAGCACTGCTCTGTCTGAAGCTCTGTTACTCAAGACTGTTGCTGTTACTTTAATTTACACAATCTGACTAGAGAGAGCTGATGTAGTTGAAACTATAAACAGGTGAGCTGATTTTTACTGTTCCTCTCAAATAACAATCACAAGGTAGCTAGCATTAGCCAACAGTTTGTCAGTTCATCACGCTCACCTTTTTGTTGAAAACACCTTAACGTATTGCACACATTCTCCTGAAAAGGTGCTGTTTTGCATTTTTTTCTTTAGCTTTCATGTTAAAACTTAAAAAGATTCCACAATAGACTTGTGTGTGCAAAATATCAATAAACCCGCAGAATGCCAGAGGAGTTGTATATTTGTGCGTTATCATAGTGCTGTGATGTGTTCTTGACTGGCAGCTCTCCGTGTGTGTCTGATGTCATCTCAAAGCGACGCTGTAGTCACCACTTCCACAGTGTAAACAAACACCACCACCACTACGGCGTCTTAAATCTGCCGCACCTCCACCTGCCACTCATTTGTGAATGAAACAAAGCGCAACTCCAGGTTTGTTTTTGGATGAGGAAACAACATTTCATAGATTAGAACATAGCCTAATATGGGCCCTTTAACAAGAATCTGTATTTTTCCACACATATGGTTATTATCTTAACTAAATTCATAATGAACCGTGGCTAAAGTGGTTTGCAGTTGAATGAATGAATACCCCAAGTTTGACTCACTCTTAATAAACAATTTATTAATTTAAATGTACAGTGTGTACTTTCCCCCTGCACGATTCCATAGAAATAGAAAGTTAAACTTTACTTCAGAACATAGATATGTTTCAGACCATACTTGGGAATATTATAGCCAAAGGAAATCCATTTCCATGGAAACAAGCAGGAGAAGGCCCTCCTTTAGGTAAATAAGAGTCAGGTTTGTGGAGATGCAAGTATGAAAGTTTTTCCATTACAATAAAAACAACCAAAATGAAACAAAAACATGCCTTTATTTTAGCCTATCCTTTACCTAACACGTTACACAGTAAGGCTTTAAGGAGCTATTATAATGTGGTGCCATACATTTTGTGATATTTCATAACTCCAAACACATACAAGTAAATGAGCTGTAAACACGACTCGTTATCTAACAAGTTCAGTTGAAGCGTTTTGCAGCCCTGCCTCCCTGTTTGCTTCTAATTACACAGCATTCAGATGTAGCTTTGATATGCTTCTGGCAGCCTCCATACAACAATAGGAGCATGGACTCGTGGGTAATGTAGTATTCACAGGCTTTCATAATGCTAAACTTTCACAAAAACAAACAGGAGACAAAGCTACAGCTAATTGACACAAAAAGTGTCTATATAACAAAGCCCATTTTAGCGATGTCATTCCAAACACTTTGTCATAGAGAGCATGAATATGTGTGTGCGAATTCGGTGCCTTCTTTATTTTACTCTAAACATACTAAACATACACATGTACAACATACTTTCACTGGCACTGGCAAATAGAAAAAAAAAATCATGAAAACAATGCTCTAGTCTGCCTTGCCCTATGTAGCATTTGCTTTCTCAAAATTGACTCTTGTGAGCTTATGTTGTTACCTCATGAAAAACCTGGAGTTGTGTTTTGTTTCATTCAAACATGTCTGAGTAATCCTGCATTATTATTCTGTCTACATCTGCAAAGCTCAAAATGCTCTGTTCCACCTGGTGATGATATGAAGCTGTAGTTTTCAAGTTAACAGCCTTTTACCTTTTGTTCAGTACAGACTGGCAATTCCAGGGCTGAAATTATCCAAATTATTCTAGTGAAGGTGTGTGGAGTTTAAAAACAGTCTATTCCATTTGAGAGAAGAGCCTAAATATACAGGGTTTGTGTGTTAAATGTGTGAAAGACAAAACACAACTCTGGTGTGTTTGTGATGAGGAAACAACATTATAACATAGATCAGAAAACAGTGTAATATCAAAGTTATCTTGGGAACAGTAAACCAAACTACAAAATCACAAAAGAAGCAAAACATAGCCTCGTTTGCACCAGCTGTACTCACTGTAGTAGTTTGAAGCTGCACACATATGAATACATAGAATACACAGCACTGCTAGCCTGGAGCTCTAAACCTATAGTGGCACCTTTCGCCCCTGGTTATATTTAGTTTGTTCAAAGTGCTGTTGCTAGGAGATGTGCAAATTATAGGTAGCCTCCATCTGCATTGCACTTGAAATAAATATATACAAATGCATTCCTACACATTAAAAGCTGACAAAAGAGGAGCGGTTAGCCTATAATGAGTTGATGAACACCCACGCTCATGACTGTATGAATATTTATCATTTGAATTGGAGAATTGTCTATGGAGGTTGCATAACAGCTGCATTATGGACTATTACTACAGTAGGCTGTTGAACGGTAGCGATTTAGAAGGCCGGGCGTCTTTCCCAAGAGAGCGGGGGAAAGGTCACGACGAAGCGTTTAAAGAGAGTGTGTAAAAAGCACAACAGTTCATCTGCTCCGGTCTCTATAGACACGTCCCTCAAGTGTGCACTCAGACCAGCAGTGCTCTTCTGATGAAAGAAAACACAAGTGTATTCAACCAGGCTGGGAAAAAACACATTTAAAGGGCTTATATTG